TTATAGAGATATCTGTCGGGGAATGGCAAATTACACGAGCTATCCACGATTTTCAGTTTTTCGTGTTCACGTTATCTGTGCCTAGTTGTAATAAAACATTACTAGAAACATGTCGCAACAGCTCATGGGGCACCTGAAATATGTAATCATTACTTTACTTCTATCTACTTAATCTGATACTAATACCACGAGGAGTCGTGTGTGCATATGTGTTTGGATGTGTGTGTATGTATGTCTGTGCATATACATATACAGTCAAACCTTCTCTAACGGTCACATGTGTAAGGCAATTAAGCATCTTAAAATTGTCAAGCAACCACTTCATCTTTCCTCCCTTACATATTTTTTTACAATAACACTGTAAGACAGCCACTTTTCAGCTCAACAATGGCTAGACATCTTAGGCAGTTTTTACCTGCATATTTGCCAACTTCAGGATTTTGCAAGGCCAAGATGTCGACTTTTGGATGCCACGCAATCCGAAGTGGCTTTTTACCCACATCTCATACAGAGCTGTAACTGAGACAAACAGACCACTACGCTTACATCTGTCATGTCTTTATAGGCTTCCTTCGTGTGTCCCTCAAGAGCTGGGTCTTCCACTTTGACCATCTCCCTGTAGAACCTGATCAGCTCTTCCTCCGTGATGAGACCGTCACCTGCACAGAAAAAGTGAGCCATGGTCTCAATTATGCATAGAAAATTAACCTTTCACATCAGTGACACACATGGGACATGAACCATGACATAAGTGACACGCATAGATATTTTAGTTTAGTTTTAGTTAGAGGTTTATGACACTTGCAACGCAAAAATATCATATAAAGTATAAAGGCCAAAGACTAGCGGTGTTACTAAAGATTAACATACAAAGAAAAGAAGGAAAGATTTATAAGGATGTTGGATGTTGGATAGAGCAGAATGAGCAACCAACCAGAGAGCCCACATGCCAACCAGGAACCATGATATCAGTGACACATTGAACATGAACCATGACCTCCATCCGATCATCATCAACCCGACCACTCTTCATTTTTTTTTCTTTACCTTCTACTCCTGAGCCAATCCCAGCTCTCTCCTTGAAGATAGGTTTAAAGTGAAAATATTGAGATACATCACAACTTGAAACAAACATACCTTGGGCTATGAATACAACATGTGAAAGAAATCAGTTTTTCAGCTTGTGGAAAAGAACGTACTATTACTGATACTTGACTTGCGTATTTATAAGCATCTCAGATCATTAATTACTATTATTCGACTTTACTTTTTTTGTCCTTTGATATTGCAAGGTGTCGGGGGGAGGGG